CAGGTATTGATGGCGATCCAACCTTGACTTGAAGACTCTAGTGTTCAAGGAAGCATCTCCACGGGAGTTTGTCCCACAAAACAGCAGCTCCCGGGAAATTTTTTATGAGTGAAAACTGCTCCTTACAATTAAAATACGGCGGAAATGCGGATGATTTGATTCTGTGGAAGTAACATACCAAGTCTAATAGTGTGAACCAGTGGAACTAAAGAGTGGAGCTAATCTGAACATTTGCCTTGGAAATAGCGATAGTGCAAGGATAGGCTTGCATCATTGTGTCTGCTGGAAAAAGTGTGAAGAGTGACAACTAAGACTTCCCTTTACGAAACCGGTTAAGCGATTTTGAACTTTATCAATATGGCAAGTTGGCTGCTTTAAACTAGACAAGGCAGCAATACTCCATTTTTGGTGAAGGATAGGAGTCAGATACTTCCTGGACGGGTAAAATGAGCCGTCCATTTTTCCATCGTTTTAGATCTGTGATCCAGGAAATATGAATTCCACTTGAGGTTTGGTGTCCTAATGGACCCTCAAAGCAAGGAGCCTCTGTTCATGAAATATTCCGCTAATATTTATTTTTTGATTGTCAATAAATATCTCTCGGTTGTTTTCAGTAAAATCTTTTGTAATTTATATTTTCTAAATTAAGTTTAGTGCAGCCGAATAAGTAACCTCTTTGCCCTTAATATCGACAGAAAAAAACTGTGGCTTTGAGTTAGGCGCGAATAACACACTTTATCACCTGTGTAAAAGATGTAATGATAGCAAACCCGAACAGGTAGGCATTAATTAAAGCTATTGAATGAATCGTTATTATGTAGCCATAGCAATAAGATTCACATATAACAATTTCTATAAGGATTCTATCTACCCCAAAACAAAGATTTTTATTCTCATGAACTAATATAGTGGTTTTCAAACATAGCTTAGGTGTATCACAAGGGCGAATGTAGGGGCCACCCAGTGAGGATCGAACTCGTTACTCAATCGGAGTTGTTCTAGCGAGACAAACTTGCTAACCATTACACTGCCTCCAGGTGCCCCTTATGAGCCAATATAATAATATAGGTGGTACACTAGCCAGTGATCTTCGAGACTAATGTTTGGCTGCAGAAAAATGCAGCAAAATTTGTAGTTAAGAAGACTTGTACTCCCCACCATTCACGAATGCTCTGCCGAAAATACGCGCTTTCTTCTTGACTTTGCCTTTCGAGGACATTTATTGGTTGCTTTCTATCGTTCAATTCTGTCGTCAAAGCCACATAAGTATATTATCTGGATAAAGTTGGTTAGGTGTCTGACTTCAGGCCTGACATTTTAGTGAATATAAGAGAAAAATCATTTGATTACGTTAGCCATGACCTTCTATGGTCAAACTATGTTGCTGTATATATAATTATTTTTAAGTGCCTCTACGTCAACTTAATTTTGCTTATCTCTATCTATAAAAGGCAGGATGTGTGTGTGTGTGTGTGTGTGTGTGTGTGTGTGTGTGTGTGTGTGTGTGTGTGTGTAATGAATGCACGGCCACAATTTTCGACGGATTTGCACCAGAATTTACATGCACATGCACCAAGTTAGCGGGAAGGCCAAGACCTACTTTGCATTTCCCAAATCCCATCGATAGTGGAAATAATCGATTTTTTATGCTTCTGCGGCAGTTTTCATGTAGTTTGCGGCCATTTTCTACTGCCCAGAGTGAGAGCAAATAGCTGGCTGCCGCGAATAGGCAAGAATATTCTATTGGCCAGTATGAGAGCTAACAGCTGACTGACACGAATGTTAACTAGCATGCAAAAAAATGTCGATAGCCGCATTCGTCACAAGTGGGAAAAACTTAAATCTGCATGGCACTTTACTCCAATTGGCTCATTCGATTGCTTAAACTCATCGTTGATTCTGATTCCGCAGAACTGGGTTGGGTGTGAAAAAGTATTTGTTGTTAACATTCTTTTTTCATTCGGTTTTTCTAGTTACGAGTCCTTTTTTAAAGCTGATCGTTTTGTGTTCATTTTATTTAGTTCTTTTTTCGTAACAGATTTAATGTTTAGTATAAAGCTTAGAAAAAATTCGCAGTGTGAGATAGGCAAGAAGTAAGGCATGTAGAAACATGAGCACGGCAAAGAACACTCCTTTAAAAGCAAGGAAGGGCAAAAAATATTTTAAGTCAAGTGATAGCGACTGGTGTATGAGTCGTACGATTTTTTAATCAAGCACGGGCAACGCCGGGTCATGCTGCTAGTTATGAATAAATTGTCATTATTTCTTAGGATAGACAGTGCAATGATTTCCTGCTGTTTTCTTCATGGTTTTGGAACTCAGATTCGTTTTAGATCTGCTTCTGCATAAAACTATAGGCCTTCTCTGCTGCATAATCCATAACTTGGAGAAGGGAGAAAGAAAAAACGAAGACATGCCTTTTCCAAAGAGATTAAGACGCAATGCATGCAACTGTCGAACACTCAGCTTACTGATTCCACGTTTCGCGCCCGTAACCATTAGGCTAAATTCATAAAACAATGCATATAGTTATTGATTAAGCGTCGATCACACAAAGTACTTAATTGAAGGTATCGAATTTACTCAACTAACCTACGGTTGTCTCTCAATGATTTATTTTGTCCTGGGTATGACGATAAACTACATCCAGCAGCAAGACCCCCTGATCGGAAGATGGGGGTGTTGAGGATCATGGAATCACATCTTAACTGCTGTTGTTCCCAGGTCCACCCTCACCCGGTATGGTAGAACCTGTTAGGTTCCCAGCTATGGGTAAATAGTGCACCCCCCCAAAAAAAATTAATGAATCCTTTTTATAGTAAAATTACCAACAATAGATTTTATAGTAAAATGATAAACAGCACATTTTTATAGCAAAATTAGCAACAATACATTTTATATCAAAAGGACCAACAAGACATTTTCTATCAAAATGACTAACAATACATTTTATAGCAAAATGACAATCAGTAAACCACTAAAAAAGCATACATATTTTTATTAAAGAAAAACATTACCAGCAATACATTTTTATAGTGAAATTACAAGCAATACATGTTATGATCTGCAAATTATATATTTAAATAAAAAATCCTTTACCGTGAAAGTAACAAATTATATACAAAATACTTTGATTTCGGCGTCCTGGCTAAGACGATAAACTACATCTAATAGCAAGGCCTCTGATCAGGAGGTTTTGAGTTGCGTGAAACCACCTCTAATTGCTGGTGTTCCCAAGTCCACCTTGACACGGGGTGGTAGCACCTGATCGGGTCTCAGCTATGGGTATATAGTTAACTCCTAAACTGTGGTCAAAACACTATGAAAGTGGAAAAATAAGATTTAATACCAGCAATAATTTTTGTAAAAAAAATTATCAGGAAAAAATTTTCGGAAAAATTATTACCAGCAATACATTTTTGAAAGAAACATTACCAGCAATAAAAATATTGTCGGCATTAAACAACCCACTTTAGCGGCATATCAACCTCTATGGGACATTTAATGCCAAAATCAAATGGTTTGGTTTGGTTTGGTTTATTTTATCTTAACTAAACCAAACCATTTCATTTTGCATTAAATGTCCCACTGAGGTTGATATGCCACTAAACAAAATCAACAAACCAACAAACATGTATATATGCACAAAAGCTGAGTATTATCTACCATGTATTCGACTGTGAAATCAGAATAGCATATATATTTTTTATTATTTCAAAGCTCCCCCCAAATTAAATCTCAGCATTAAATGACCCATGAGGAGTTGATATGCCGTTAAATAAACAAATAAGTCAATTAAGCAATGCTGTACTAAAACTAAAGTATAAGATGCTTTTACTAAAATTTAGTGATATAAAATATCATTTAGTAACTTACTTAAACTTTTGATTTAGAGAGTGATTTGGTCTATTTAGTCGAACAAAAACAACACAAATGAATACCTACTGAGAAATGTGAAGGGAGCTGGTCAGGTGCTTATGGCTACACCCAGTCACGGGACCCAGTCATGGGACCCAGTCATGCTGGTGTTGATAATTAAAGTGCCAGGACAAATTTGTGGTAGTTCGGGCGTAGAATTGTGATGACCCAATTCTCAAAACGAAAGCGCGTCTGTTTACATTGAAATCAGTATTCAAAATCTCGACTGAACCATCGATCCCTTGTGGCAACCATAGCCCATGTTTATATAATTACTTTCGACGCTGTGTCACCCTGAAAGGGATTTTCTGTTTTACCGATTGACCAACTTCTTGTCCACGTTGCGTTGTTCCTTCAAAAGAGAACCAGAAAATATGAATGCCCAATCACTGCTCTTTTGAAAAGCCAACATTTAAGACAAAATTCACACACACACACACACACACACTCTCTCTCTCTCTCTCTCTCTCTCTCTCTCTCTCTCTCTCTCTCTCTGTACGATGTCCATCCCGGAGGTTAGTGATCATGGCTCTCCACAACGTCCACAACATAATTAATATGGTCTCTGAGCGTTTATTACCCTACGCCTACTTTCCTCATTCTATGTCTAAAATATTTCACTTGTCCATATCTGATTGGTTTGAGATTATTTGTAATTTGTATTTTTTGGGGGGAAATACTTCAGCTCTAACCTATTTTCTCCAAAGTTATTTCGGCCGCTACTCTGGAAGAATAGGTTTGTCATGAAATATTTTTGTATTTCTCAGCTATTCTGTCCATGTTATTCCCAAAATGCCTCAGTAGAAAGATACCTCTGTCGCGTTAGGTCTCTTCTCGACCTGTGAGGTTGTACAGTATTCAATGGCATATAGGAGTTTAACTGTTACATGAAAGTTCGGCAAACTCTCGTTTGTTTCTAAGGACATTTTTCGATTCCTTAATACGCTGACCAATTTCTTAAAAGTATTCTTTGCTATTCATGCGAAAATGGATATAACGAACCCATCGGTAAATGGAACCCGACTCTCCGATTAACAATTTCGATCCATTATTCATTACACCACCCGCACATACAAACTTAGAACCCCTGGTATTCCCAGGCGGTTACCCATCTATGTACTGACCAGGTTCGATGTTGCTTAACTTCAGTGATCGTACGAGAATTCGGATCTCCGATTAACACTTCCTAGTTATTATCCATTACATCACTCTCACATCCAAGCTTACAGCAACTGGTATTCCCAAGCGGTCACCCATCTAGGTACTGACCAGTCTCGACGTTGCTTAACTTCGGTGATCGTACGGGAACCTGTGTTTCAACGTGATATGGCTGTAAACCTAGTAGTGTTCAGAAGCCACAATAGGAAAATAGAAATGCCAAACAAACACAGTAGATTTCGGTTCTCACTGGGTGCCCAGCTCTTTCGATTTTATGACTTGTAAAGCCTAATAAATACGATCATCTTTTGTATTACTCTGCTGGTGTGAACGATGTGTGTAAAGTGTGCGTCAATTATAAAACTACATAGAACTATATAGTATGTCTGTCTGTATTTATATATGTTACTTCTGCTTCCTCCTGTGCAAAGTGACATAGAAGATTACAGTCAGAAGAACGACTTATTAAATAACAAAAAATGAAAAGCTTTTTTACCTTTTTTTTTTTAAAGCATATCACCCCAAGCAAGACGGGAGTGCCACTAGCACGCAAGGAGTTACAGAGAGTAAGAGCAAGAGTAAAGAGGGGTGTTTGAGGAAAGAATAAAGAGAAAGACGGGGATCAAGATCAAGGTATCAAAAGATGTTTTTGACATTACATTTGAATATTTGAAGATTATAGCTATCAGGGAAGCAAGTAAGAGGAAGGGAGTTCCACTGTCGGGAAGTGCGAGATAAGAAACTGTTAGAATAGAAGAGACGGCTACATTTAACCGTTTTGACAATGGAAGGGTGGGACCGAGATGCCAACCTAGTAGCACGCTTAAATTCATGCAGTTGAAGTACCAGTGAAAGTACCTCGTCAGAACAGTTGCCGTGAAAATATTTGTAAAAAAAAAAAAAAAACAGAGGAAAGACACAACACATCTGTTAGAAACTGACTGTCGACGAGATGCCAGATCAGGACTTAATCCATTGCATATCCATCTCTGGATTTTGTTGAAGACATCGAGGTCAACAGTGGGGGCACAAGTATTCAAGACGTTGAAAAACAGGTATTTGATAATATTTAAGAAGCAATACCGTATTTTTTTTTAATCATTTCATTCCAAGCAAGGCGACAATACCACTAAAACGAAAGGTCTTACTAAGAGTGAAAAAGAATATAGGCGAATGAAAGAACAGGTTTCACGAAGACAGAAGATAGCAATTCATTTTGGATTTACATTTTAGAAGATTGTAGGTGGCAGAGAAAATAGAAACTGGAAGAGAATTTCTCAGACGGGAAGCGCGAGAAAAGAAAATATTTAAATAGAACTTACGGTTACCTCTTGCCGATTCAACAATAAAATGCTAGTCGTACGCTTAAATTCTTGCGGTTGAAGTAGTAAAGAGGAAAGCTCATTAGAACAATTGCCTTGAAAATATTGATAAAACAAAGAAGGAAGCCTTGCCACGGAGAAAAAGTGACTGAAGTCGAGATACCTGGTCGATTATATTAGAAACCTTTTTTTTTTTTGGCTGTATATCTCGAAATTCTTGAAAATAACCAATTTTCAAGAATTTCGAGATATACAGAAGTACCAGACCAGATATGGCAGCAATATTCAAAGCACGGATCAGTGGTAGATTTATAAATGTGCAAGCTAGATTCTGAAAAAATTGTCTGGTACGACACAGTGAACCAACTTTCCTATCAACAGATCTAGCAACTGATTCAATATAATCTCTCCACTTCATGTTAATGGAAAATGTGACACCAAGAAGACGCAATGAGTTTGTCTCCTGCAGGTTAGCATCAACCATGGTGATGGAAACCAGAGAAAGTTCTCTACCGTAATTATAAGATACCTGTTTTCGTTTTGGAGGCGTTAAAATTTACAAGTTATTGCTTGCCCCAGTAAACAACTGATTAGAAAGAGCTATAATTACTAGCATGAGGTGTGGATAGCGTAACGTATCGGCACAAAAAGTGAAATCGGCGAGTCAAGTTCAAATTCTGGTCGATTGTGTATCGTTTACTTCATTTAATTCCCTTAAAAGTTCGTAAATCATTTTTTCGCCAACTATGGGTTAAATAGTAATATTTGGCTCTCCTGACTTGAGTGATGATCAGCCTTTGACTAGAGAAGCCTACTTTATTGAAAATAGCATTTCTTAATAGAAACATTTTATACATTTCAATTGATAGTAAAACTGACTGATCGGTCAGTAAATGACAAATGCCTCCTGTACGTATGTATAGTTGGCCACTCGTATTCGGGGGTACCCGTCTACTAGTGTGGCTAGCCAATCCCTGTTGCAGACGCTTGCTCAGGCGCATCTGTGATTTTGTTCAACACCCACAAACCCCACCTGTGGTTTATACTGCAACTATGCTGAGCAGACTTTAGTTACAGTTTCTGACAAAGAGCGTGTCACCTAACTCTAATCACCAATTTGAACAAGACCAGCACGGTCAAACCCTCGGTCACGATGACTTGTGACTTCGTGCTATCGACAGTCCAATTTCACTCACAAGGCTTGGATCAACTCGTGGTATGGTTTTTCAGGCATTTTCCAAATATGCCGCACACTGAGATCAACCCCGCCAGTCCGATAACATCAAGAAGTCTTCTTCCTGACAAATCGACCATGGTGAGATTCGAACCCGAGTTTCATAGTCAGAATGCAAACGTTCTAACCACTCGACCACGCGTATGAAAACAGTTAACCTCACTATTACCATTATCCGGTAAATAGAAAATTATTTACAAGCAAAATTCCAATTATCTTTGGATTATTGTTATGTCCATTTTTCATTTTTTTTTTTTTTTATCACAAGCAATTATTATTATTAAATAAAGGAAATCATTTAAGTATATAAGTGACTAATTTATTTGTATATTATGTTTCGTTCATTTTTCTCTTTGGTTATGACTTTTTTGCGTCCCACCTAATTTCATCTTGAGCCTCGGGAGTGCATCGCGACGCACGATTTGGAAAATACTCCAGTTCTAACCTGTATTCTCCAGAATTCTTATTTCGGCCGCTACTCTGGAAGAAAACATTTGTCATGAAATATTTTATCAGTCACTTTAAAAGAAGAAAAAGTCTTATTATATACATCGTCAGTTGCTAGTGATTATAGAAAAACAAACCTCTTTTTGCCACGTAACTAAATTGACCACAACAGTACAAAAGTAATTTATCACGAGATATCTCGTCAACAGCTTCAAGTCGAATAATATTCTCGCAATAGAACAAAAATATTCTCCCGGGATATCTCATTAACTACTTCAGAAGAAATAAATTACATACGTTACACTAAAACCGTTTGCGCGACCATGTGGGTAATGAATTATTTTCCATTATCCAAGCGTTCATATCCTCTTTCAACTCTATGGCTATTTTCATGATAGATATTTGGCCGAAATATATTCTTTGGTTCCATTAGTTCAAACTTTTAGCGTTAGAATCACTCAGGCCATGTAAGCTAAGTCGACTCATCCTCATTCCTTTTATATTCCATTGCTAAGGAGGAAGTTTCAATCAGACAACTTCTTCCTCAGAACTGTTGTATTGTGTAACCAACTCCCAAGCAGAGGCTCCTGTAATCACTACAGTCTTAACCTCTTCAAGTCAAGGGTGAACTTTTATATATCCTACATATCCTCATAGGTATCCCTTGCTCTCCCTCTGTACACTAGAGTGTATCATACTTCCCTGATATTTTAAATCAAATGAGTTGCATCTTAAAAGGACCTATTTTAGTCATATATATTTGTATAAATATATTGGAGATGTCAACATCAAGAACTTTATATATTTGGGAAGTGCTTTGAATTACAAACGTTACACCAAAAAACGTTTGCGTGACAATGTCGGTAATGAATTATTTCCCATCATTCAAGTGTTCATATCCTCTCGCAACTCTATGGCTATTTCTATGGTAGATGTTTGGCCGAACTATATTCCTTGGTTCCACTTTCGCGGCGAGGACCAACCAGGCCATGTATGCTGAGTTGGCTCATCCCCTTACCTTTCATATTCCATTAGTAAAGAGGAAGTTCCACTCAGAGAGCTTCTTTCCCAGAACTTTTGCATTCTGGAACCCACACCCGAGACGATGTTTTCCCGGGACACTTTGATTTGAATACCTTCTTGTCTCGGGTCAACCTTTCTCTATCCTACAAATCCTCATAATATGCAACTCTTGCTTCCTCCCCGCACGTCCTTACAACAACCTCATTTCGTAACACTCTATCTTGAATGGCTATTGGGCCTTGTATTGGGTTAAGAAAAGTAAAAAAAAAAAATGGGCACTCGCTCTAAGACAAAAATATCTTGGAAAATATCTGGTGAATCAATTCCAAGATGTTAACTTAAAAATTTAACTTGTGAAGATAATTTCTAAAAATAACAGTGTTATTTAGGAATAAAGTGTCACTGCCGACACTTGAGTTTGAACATAGATCGTCAGTGAGCAAACACAGGTGATCCCATTATAAGTTGACCACGTGACCATAGAGGAAACGCTTAAGTAGGAAGTCGCGTGACGTCTAATCGATCTGCATTTTTAGTCTATCCTCTAATACTATTCGGATCTGCATTTCTAGTTTATCCTCTATTATTATACGAATCGTCATTTCTACTCTATCCTCTATTACTATACGGACAGCTATTTTCTACTCTATTTACTATACTATTTCTCTATTCGGATCACTGTACGAGTGAGTATTATCGAGCAAGTACTATTAGCGCGAGTGATATACGGAGGCGTCTGGCACCAGTATTGTTCAACGGCGTTACTATAATTATACCTGCAATTACGAAGTCACAACGAGTATTACAAAAGTGACAACGAGTATTCATTGGCATCACAAAAAAAGCAATCTTTCAACCATGACAACACTTTTCTTAAACTTAAATTTTAAATGTTAAAATGAAAAATTACAAAACAGCTTTATTTATTAAAACAATTTTATTGACCTTAAAGGTTTTGATAAATTAATTAATTGAAAATTAAAATAAATTTATTTATAACTTAATTAATTTTGTTTAAAATATGAATTGATATTAAATCCTTAAAATAAACATATTTTAAAGTAAAATAGCTAATACGTTTATGCAACACATTTCTAGGATTTCACTGATAATTAAAAAAACTGAATTTTTCAATTGAATAAATGTTAATTG